AGGGGGAGAAAAAATGGGGTTTGAGATTAGTGGGGGGGGGTGTGATTGCATGTATTCAACTCCCCAGTTTCTTGGCCATAATACATGTATAATACGGTTGTTGTTTTACATAATATTGTAAAATAAAACAAAAAAACAAACAAAACACAAAGAGAAAAACAACAACAACAACAACAACAACAATACAGGACTAGTAAAGAGAATAGCCTACAGTACATGTCCCACTATGGTTACCACAACGAAGTGTCAAAAAATCCCCTGGGGCGGGGGGAGGGGGGCAGACAGAGAGTGTTTGAAGGGCACCTCTGACAGACCTTTTATCGTAATCTTACCTACTTAGTCATTTCTGGTGTCTGGCTTGGGGCGTTGGGTTCAGAGAGCCCTCTCCATAAACGGCAAGAGAAAAGGGGTCGTAACGTCTTAAGCATCAGTTGGGAAATACTATAATTGCAAGCTGTTTCCAGCCTTTTTTACATTAAAGCATGTTCACATTCGAAAAGTAGTATGGTTTTTCTGGATTCATTGGAGAATAGTGAGTGGTAACGCATCTTTAGGCCTATTATTGTCGACCGCTTCCAGACTTGAGTGCAAACCTAAAAGGGTACAATCTAGGCCCATCCCACCGAACCGTGTTGTTCTAGATCTAGACCTAGCCTATAGGAAATTAACAGAAATATTACGAGAATAATGCATATGTATTATAATGTTTGTATACATTGCGCAATTGCTTCTGTTCGCTTTAGTTTAGTCTCACTTTACATATAGGCCTACCCGGTTGATCTCTAAACGCAGTGGCTATTTTTACGGTCATGTTATAAAGATGTACGTGTTCGAGGCTATTTTTACGGCCCTGTAAAGACGGTCTTCGGGGCTATCTTTACTAACATATTAATATTAGATTACATAAACAATTTACATAAACTTACATCTGATGTTGTTACTCTTCTTATTGCTGTTTTCTTAGAAGTAGAAGTGCTGTTGTTGTTCCATTAAAAATGTGAAATCTGGATTCTAAATCTAGAATCTAGTTAGGAACCGGATTTTATTAGATCTAAATGTTTTACAATTTTGTCATTTTTGCAATATCTAAATTTTGACATTTTCGTTGAGAGCTAAATTCTCTATTAGGCCTACTTGGGCGAAGAGTAGCCTACGACTGACACCTCTTTCCAGTTTTTGAAACTTAAAGTCAATGGGAATGGGAACAGAGAACGACAGAAACAGGAAAGAATGGGCTAAATATTTACTAGAAGCCATGCTTTCGAGTCCTCAAAAAATGCAAACGGAAATTTAATCTTTAGTAGATAGATCTAGATCTAGGCCTAGATCTAATTTCGCAACAATTTCTCCTACAATGAAGAAATTACATAACACCGTAAGTCCGTGAAATAACGCGAAGCACAATAGTTGTGCCAATAGCTTTTTATTTTTTTTATTGACTATTTTGCACATTAGGGTTTCCATAACATTTGTGTCAAGATGGAGGACTGTGTATCAAGTAAACATTACAGCTGACAAGGGTCATAGAGATGTATTCCTCTCACCCTCACTGTGGCTGGATTTTCTAATACCCATCTTCATCACCGGAAAGGGTAAATTCAATTCTTACTTTGAATGTTATAATTTATAGGTGATTGTGGCTATTGTTACAAATAGTAATGTTCACCAAGTAGCCTGCCTACCCTCTCTCCTCTCTGTGATGGGCAACTGGCAATAATAATCATCATATGACATGACATGATTTTTCAGCTAGGGAGAGCGTTTGATGATGATCAGTTTAACGGGAACGTTTGGTCCTAAAATTTATGCTTGTCGTTGTTTTCAACCGTTGGTGTGTGATGTAAATTAATCTCACAACTCACAACAGAATGAGGTAGCTGTAGGCTGTAGGGGCCAGATCTAGACTATCACATCACTAACAGTAACACAGTCTTACACCCAACTTCTCAGTCATAGCAGAAGAGCTGTGTCAGTGTCCTGTACTGTAGGCTAACAAAAAAAAAGAACAATTTCAAGTGGTGATGGCATGAGTGGATCAGGAGGTCTTTTCTCTGTTGCTTAAACATTCTTTTGCCAAAGTTTTTCCACCTCATTAAAAATGTAGGCCTGAATTAAATGTAAATTATCTGGTGTTATTACTCATGAAGCTGCTCATCATTTTCATCAGTCATCAGTGATGGGATTAAAGGAATTGGGAATGCTTTCATTTTCAGTGAAGAAGATTTGATTCCCTTGACTCTAATTCGGCCCTAATTCTAATAGATCTAGATTCTAGATCTAGATTCTAGATCTACAACTCTAAACTAAACGTGCAAATGGGATATGACTGGAAAAATTATTTTCCTTTTCTTACCCACCCGTCTCTCTGCTCTGTCTCTATCTCTGTCTCTGTCTGTCTGTCTGTCTGTCTGTCTGTCTGTCTGTCTGTCTGT